AGCCACCAAACAACCAAAATAATCTTGAGCTGTGCTGAGTTAGTGCATCTTAGCGTTGGATGGAGATGAAGTATTACAACAGTGTCTGACAGTTGAGCCTTGGAGAAAGATGACATAGTTTTTCCTGAAGATGACATACAATTCTTCTCTCTTGAGGCGCAACCTCTTGAGAAATTCCTTATCAAATATACTTTGGTAGGTTACCCTTAGAGGGTTCTTTACTCCACAGCAGGATTTATATGAGTGAGATGCCTTTGTCCCTTCTTTTTCTCCCTCTTCCAACTGTAAGGAACAACATTCACTACAACTCTTAGCCTAATCAGCAACCATAATAGCAACTCTGTAATACACTAGGGAAACAGCCCCCAAATCTATTGCCTTTGCTTATTTTGCTCTACAAAACACAGAGAATTGGAAAATGTGTTTAGACAACTAATCGCACCCGAACAATCTTAATTGCTCAATTTATTTTGGGGGGATGGGAAGGGATTATTACCCCTGAATAGTGATCCACCAATATACTAACAACTGGGGTTCTACTTGCTGTACTGCTAAGTAAACAGAGGCCAGTGGAGTAAGGAAACTTACCTAAGGTTTTGCCCTGCCTGGAAATCGCACCCAGGCCCTCTCACTTGTGAGGAATATCAGTTTTAAGAGACTGGAGTGAAGGTTACGGTTATACAGATGATCACTGTACTGCAAGGAACACCTTGAACAAGTCCTCCTGGAACTATGGAAATTGCAGAAGTGCAATTCAGCTGACTAATATTGTAGACAGCAATGCTAGATTGATAGCCTTGGATTTTAGATGGATAAACATCAGGAAACTGGGATAGATTTACAGTTTTACCTGTTGTTAAATACTTTTAGCAGCTTAAACATGATTTCCCCTTCTGTCTCTTCTGACGTCATGACTCATGCTGGGGACGATTTCAAAAGCTAGCATGTGTGAGCTTAGAAGAGTGTTGGCAGGCAATTTGCCCATGAGGCACATCACAACCGAACCTAATATCTACACAAATGCATTCCATCAGGTTCCGGTGCTAGCCTTGGAAGGACCCCCTAAAGGTTATAAACACATCTTCCAGTATTCTATCGAAGACAATAATGGAAATTATTCTGATGGCTTAGTTCATAAATGTGTGATGTGATACTGAGCCATACAGAATGTCTGAATATGTTTCATCAGTCTCAGTCCGAGTGATAGTAAGGGTGCTACAATTTGCCTCAGCAGCTGATACATTCTAAAAAAAACAATCTAAAAAAAAATTGCACATAGGATATTCAATCACCCTCCTAGAAGTGCACATACGATCAGGCTCACTCCCCAGTCAGATAGCCGACTGACATTTATTGTCACGCCCAAAGAATGGTTACTTGGGTGAGGTGCCAGACGGCTGCCGCACCTCAGCATGAGCTACTTATGTGAATGATGACAGTGCTGAACAAACAGTATAGATAGAAATTACTGAGCTCCCAGGATAAACAAAACAAAAACAGAAAGGTGTTGCTCAGTCCTAATACCTGTTAACTGACCACAGTTTCATTTTGAAAGTACTATTTAATAATACGGTATTATATCTGTGACTCTTGTAAAGCCACAATGTGCTGCAAGAAATGAGTTGTACTGAACACCTCCCTCTCCCAGACTGCAAGTCTAAACCACTGAACCAACACAGGAGGGACTGTAGTGTAAAGACTGCAGTACTAGACATCACACATTTAGTATATCATATAAACCGTGTATAATTTGAGAAGTGTAAAAGAAATTCAATACTTGTTATGCCAATTTACAAAACCTTAACTGTACTTAGTCATAACACAGGAGTGAAAGAGAATTGTTTTTTAAGAGACTGTGTAATCATTATTTTCATCTAATAAATACCCAAGGAAAACATTGAACAATATTTGTTCTACTTTTAACAATATTTCCTTGATAAACAATCCCATTAGAATTCCCACCAACACTCTAACTCCGCTTTGGAAGTAGATTCCTACATTCCGTTACCGGAAAGAGTCCCTCTGTATGTCAGATTTATTACATCTTACTGCATTAAAACTTTTAAAAGTGCTTTAAATTAATTTTCATCAAGGGTACTGACTGCTTTTGTAGAAAAAATAAAATTTACTGAAATACTACAATTCAGACCCTTTATCTATTGTGCAATATGGCAACCAGAAGTGTCCATATATGGTCTAACCAAGGTTTTATGTACATTTTGCATTATTTCCCTACTTTTATACGCTGTTCCCCTGGACATAAAAGCAAAGGCTCTTATTTGGACTCTTTATGGCTTTGACCACCTGTGCTGTTTCTTTTAGAGTCCTGTGAACTTGGATCCCGAGGTCACTGGTAGATAGTAGATTCCTACCATCCAGGACATAGTATGCTTCTTTATTTTCTCTGCCAAAGTAAATCACTTCATATTTCCCTCTATTAAATTCCATCTGTTATTTATCTGCCTATTTTGCAAGCCTATTTATGACTTCCTGCATCATTTTACAAGATCTATGCTCTGAATAAAAGTATTTTTTCTTCATTGCACCCACTTAGTCTTTTTACAAAAATGCAGCAAATCCACTTCTTTCTGTCATATGATCATAGCTACAAATTGTAAATTTACTGATTAAATAAGCACATCTGAAGCACTTCCCACAAATACAAAAACGATAGACTAAACAATGTGAGGCAGAAACGCATACAGTGAAGCACAGAATCAGCCATTTAGACACATATTACGCAAATAGGAAAACAACATGGGAATATATTTGGGCTATAATACAAGTTTCAAGATTCTGATGAGCTTAAATTACTGAAAGGACACTGTTGCGATTTATAGTCATCCTGTACTTTTCAAACAGGACTCTTATGCAATATAGTATTATTGTTCAGTTAAGATCACTCAGGGTGATTTCAGGTGAGGAGCTGAGCCAGATCTCAGGTTCAACCTCTTGAACTGTATTGAGTTAGCTGAATGATTTAAAATCCACTATTGCAATTACTGTTACAATTACCCTTAGCGCTTCACGATAGAGATTCCTGCTTTTCCCTACTTATTAATTTTTTATTAATATTAATTTATGTAAAAAAATACATAATTTTTATTATTACTATTAATAATAATATTTTCAATTGCTGTCTTGCTAGAAGTGCCCGTTTGTGCATGGCTGGTTAAATTGGATTGGGCTCTGTTGCAACACTCAAATAATCTAAAAATTATAATGAGATATCAAGCTTTTTTTCTTTAACTGAGGTTAACTTTTTCTCTTTGACCGTGCCTTCAGCTCCCCTCTCGACTCTCTTCCTCCTCCTCGCTCCCTCCCTTCCCTCCCCTCACCCTGACCATTTCCCCCCTCCTCTCTCCCTCCCTTCCCTCCCCTCACCCTGACCATTTCCCCCTGCTCGGTCATGACCCAACTGTGCAGCGCCTTGGGACGTCCTCCTGACGTGAAAGGCGCTCTATAAATGGAATCTTGTTGTTGTGTTGTTGTTGTTGTATGGATGTTCAAGTATCTGGCACATTCTGATAACTCATAAGAACATAAGAAAAGCTAGACAAAAAAGACCAAGGTCCATCTAGTTTGCCATCCACCTTCCTGGTGGTCGCATGCACATATGTCCCAAACTACCTACGTACTATATCCCATAATGTTATTTCCTAAAAGAAAATTATCTAATCTGTGTTTGAAGGAATCACCACTTCCTGCTTCAACCATCTCCCTAGGGAGCCTGTTCCACAGGTTCACTATTCGCTCACTGAAATAGTTTTTGCATAGATTCATTCTGAATTTACAACTGTTCAATCGCAGGCTGTGTCCTCTGGTCTATCTCACCCAAATAGATACTAATGATGAGTCTTGACAGTGATTCTAGCAGGCTACTTGACAATGGGTGATATTACATACATGTCTGATCCTGGCTTCACCCAACACCCACATCTACAGCAATCAAGATCCTTAGATGATTTTCCCCTTCCTAACCCAGGGTCCCTGAAACCAATTGTAGTAGCCCAACTGCAGTCCTAGCTGAGACTAATAACTCAGCAAGACCAGGATCCAAAACCTTCTTGTTTGTATAAGAAAAGAATCCTTGCCTTTGATGTAGCTCCTTTAATGTCAAAACATTGTAAACAACAACAAATCACATTTATAGAGCGCCTTTCATGTCGGGTGGACGTCCCAAAGCACTGAACAGTCAGGTGTTGGGGCCCGAGCATGAGGGATGTTTGGTTTAGGGGTGAGGGAAGGCGGAGAGGTGGGAGGGAGATGAAAGGCACGGTCGAAGAGAAGGGTCTTGAGACCGGCCTTGAAGGATGCAAGGGAAGAAGCACTTTATAGGTGATTACTGAGAAGCCCAGTGACTATTTTTAGGCAAATGTAGCAGCCAATTTGAACATAGAAAGTTCCCACATAATGTGAATGACCAATTCATCAGGATTGTTGGCCAAGACATTAGAAGAAACTCTCTTTTCTTTTTGTGTCATCAGATCTTTTAACTTTCTCTCCCACCACCACCGAACAGGCAGGATCTATTTATCCAAAGGACAGCACCTCCAACAATGCAGCACTCCCTCAATACTGCACTGGAATGACAACTTGGACTATGGACTCATGGTCAATGTGGGGCTTGAACCCATAACTTTCTTACCCGTAGATGACAGCTACTAACTGAGCCAAGCTGATATCTATGGGCTAACACTACACCAAGTAATGATTTTACCAACTGGACCATGGAGGAACAATCAGGAAGGTTTCTGAAAAACAAATCTGTTGCAGAATGTCATTTACAAAAGGAAATGGGAGCCAACAATCTAAGATCATTGTAATTTGGGCCAACTGGCTACAAAAAATTATACCTCATAGATCAGGCAAAGTTCCAGAAGATTTATGATTGCTTCCATTAAATAAAAAAGATTTGAGATAGTGTGAGGCCCTGATAGTGTAACATAGCAGAACCCCAATCTATAATCTAAACAAATGCAAGTCTATGACTCTCTTACCTGACTAATTCCTTGTATATTGTTTTGGTAATGTCCAAATAAACATCAATCATATCTTCATACTGACAGAACGCTCCACCCAGGCAGAGGTGTTTGAAGATCCGAAAGAGAAATTCCTCACGATCAGCCTTGTTGAATATTTCATAATCGTCAGAATCTTCCAGCAGTAATACCTAAATTAAGGATAGAATACTTATTAACAAGCCAAAGGGGAAATTACGAAGAAACAAGATCTCAATCACCTGTCCACATGATTAATACTGGGTATATGATAAATCATTGGGCACATTTCTCAAATAGCATTTTGTCCCATTTTGTGGCTCATCTGTCTCTGCCACTTAAAGCTAAAAATACAGCATCTGGTTTTGGCTCCTAGTTTCTCTTTCAGCGCTGCCTGATTCTTTCTGTCATACATTTGTTTGCTCTCTTGAAATCATTCGGTATCATCAAATAAAGGTTGTACTTATTCTGCTCAATTCCAATCAATAAAATAATAATGGTTGCTGTATTACTATACACATTTTAAGAATTAATTCTGGTAACATTATACAATAATAGTATGCATTTTGTGAAATGCAAGACTGATATACTCAAGTTAAGAAAACAGGTCGACTTCATTCAAATTTATTACAAAAAAATCCTTCCGGGGATGATCCATCAGTGGTCTTTCACGAGAATGAAAGAATATTAAAACTCAGTACCTTTAGGATATTCTAGTTAATCTATGGGCTATGAAGTGGTAGAATAAGTACGTCTCTTTAAATGCTTGAACCCTGCTTACAGGAGTCTTTAGTTATAAAAGAGAATTTGGAATAAAGGTGAGTTTAAGTTGGAGAAGAAATATGTACTACTATAGTGCTATTGGTTACATTATTGAGTACAAGACTTGTTTGTAAACAGGACACTGTTTTAAATAACGGAATACTTGTATCTTATCCTAATGGTAAAAAACATTTGTAGGTAAGGTTTATAAACATATTTCTTTGGCCCTTCTCTTGCAGTTTCGCTTCAATGAAACTGTACAGAAACTGTACTCCTGTTGGGGCCAATTGTATCATGTTAAAAAGAAAACATTATCTAGTTACAATAAAAGTAACAATATTACCTATTTGAAATGGCAGTAGCAATAGAGTAAGATGCACCTCGACCGCAGAACAATAAGTCATAGGAATTGCAAAGTGCAATTTCAAGACAGATGCCAGGAAGTATCGGTAATTATTTCTGTATCCAGAAGGTAATTAATGACTCAAACAGTTTGATTTACCTACTTACCACTGAATCCATATTCAGAGGCCACCGGAAAGGGTGGTCAAGGCCAGGACCTGAGAGTTATTTTAAAAAGTTGCTTGATTCTGTGATGAGGACGACAGTAGGGTGGGTATTCTGGGATAATATGAAATAATAATAACAATCCTTGCATTTGATATAGCGCCTTGTCACATCTTCGAGACGTACCAAAGCGCATCGCAGAATATACTGTAAAGTGAATTGACTGTATATTTTTTGGGCGAAGAGCAGTAGCCGATTGCTCACAACAGTGTCCCATAAACAGTCGTGAATTGAAGTGACCAATTTTTTTAAAGGAATTATTACCCATGGAAAAGCAATCCACCAATCGACTACCGACCGGGTTCCTACTTACTGCTAGGTAAACAGAGAGATATTTGAATCAACTCCAGACATTCATACAAGAAGAATTGTCACTTGTGTGAGGTAATGGAGGGAGTCCAATGCTTATGAAAGTAGAGCTATACTGTAGCAAAACTGGAGAAATCTGAAGGTGAAAAACAAGAGAAAAAAGCTAAACTTTTAACAATAGTAGAGCAAAAGATCACTCTTACTTTGGCAAGAAGTTAACTGATAAGTCAGATCTGTGTTTTACATCAGTTGAATGTTTTATCCACCCACAGAAGCTGTAAAACACAATTTAAATGTAAAGTAACTGAAACAGGTGCAGTTAAACAGCTGAGGAATCAGCTGTTTCGAACTATCTCCTTCATCAATAAGATGAAGTACACTTATGATGCTAGGTCTGTAGTTTGACTGCTGACATTAGCTACACAATCATAGAAAGAATACTCAGAATTAAACTAGAAATATAAGCGCAGTCTTAAACAATCCCCTGGAAAATATGTATATAATGGAGGCTTGGGAAACCATTCTGAGAAATGTAATTGTGATAACACTTGTAATTGTCACCGCATGGCAAAAATGTCACATAAAAGTGGGGTTTCCTTTCTATTATAATGTTATTTACTTAACCCTTTGAGCAGTAAATACTGAAATATACTCAAAACACAACAGGGCCACTGCAATACAAAGTCTGCAAATGTGATCATATCCAAACCAAATTGTTTAAAAGCAATTCAATAGCTTTCAAATGTGCAACCAGGAATCAATTTAGACTGATAATCTGCAAAATTCCTCTTCCTTCTGGCTGTACGGGTCTAAAGTAAAATGTGTTTGGGTAGTTACAATCCAATATCTGGTTGAAACAGCATAAATACATATCATAATTCAACACTAATTAGCTGTTTTAGGGATATTCATTTTAAGTTGCATTTACGTTGCATTGACTAAAATGTGCCCCAAAAAGCTAACTATAAACAGCCCAAATTGTCACTTTCTGAATAGTCTCTGGTTCAGTAAATCAATGAGTAGAAGTCGCTTCAGCCTTAGCAAAATTTAAGGAATGGGCAGTCTAGTCATAACGGCCAGGCATTCTCCACTGCCAAATTGCCACCATCTCAACATGGCAATTCTAATTTACCTGATAAACTGCTTTTGTCCAGGTAAGTTATACTTAATTAAGTATGAAGTCTATTTTTAAAAATCTTTGAACATGACCATGTGCTTTTTTCCTCTACATTCTCCTCTTCTATCCTGAAGTCGGTAAGATATATTGAGGTTCAGTTTTATGAGCTACAGCCACCCTCTGTTGCCCTCTCCTCTTGTGTGAGTCAATAGAATAAATGTGGCCAGGCTATTAGAATCATCACAGCAAAGCACAATGCTGTTCTCATTCAATATTCACAGAAGCACAATTTCCAGTAAGAGTGAGTGAGCATCAATATATGTGGGAAGGGGGTTATTACGTAATAGCAATCAACAAGGAGGACCCTAGTTGACTGTGCGCTTCTTTAGAAAATGGGCATTAAGAGCAGTTGATTTAACTTTTATCTGAGCTGAGATCATACAGAGTTGGGGCCAAACTTTGCTCCTTTGATTAGCTCAGTATCACTGTGTATGCTTATCCATTCAGTCATTGGAGAGAGCATGCATTTATTTCAGAAAACAAAAGACTTTTATTTTGGTTTAAATTCTAAATAGTGGGAGCAGAAGTAGTGGCCCATATAAGTCAAAGAAAAACTTTGCAGAGATTGAGTGGAAGCCAAGCAAAGTGGGAGATATGGGAGTAGTTGAAAAGTGGCTAAAGGCACAATCAAAAGGTAAGTTTTTAAAAAAGCAGAAATAGAAGGTGCAAGGCAGAGAGATTCTGGGAGTGAGTTCCAGAGAGCAGAGCAGGGGCAAAGTGGCTAAAAGTTTGTCTGTCAATGATGGAGCTGAGGGTGTGGCAGGATCCAAGCAGGATAATGCTGTATTCAGTTGAAGGAAGTTAAGACTCATCCAGGACTTGATGTCTGACAGGCAGTCTGTCAGGAAGGATAGCAGTTGTCCTGGATGAGCCTTAATACCACAATGTCAAGACATTCACAAATAAAACAGAAAGTCAGTCGCTGCTAGCACCCTCCAGAAGCAAAAGCTTGGAATGCGGTAGTGTCTGCTACTTGTCACCGCATTTCAAGTTTTTTCTTGAGCCATAAAATCAAAGCAACATTAGGTTCTCCATTTAGCAGTCCAAGAAAGCAGTGAATAAAAACTAATCCCGGTTGTGACAGGCAGATTTCAACAGGCAGCATTAGGCCTTAAACCAAAAATATTCTTTTTGGAAGTAAGTACTAAACCCACTGACATTATTGAAATTAATACATGTTGTACACTGATGCTGTCAGTTTGATGTGACAATTTATGTTCCATGAACATCCTACCTGTCGAAGCTTGTCAGCGATTGTAAAATCCTCATAGACTTCATCATAACACTTGGCAATGTGCCCTGTGTCTCGTACAATTCCTTCACTGTACAAACGGTCAAAGAATGTCATAGATAGCTGGGTACAAGGAACAGCTTCAGTCTCCACTTTCTTAACATCAGCCCCTACCGAAACAGAAATAAGATCAAATGGACATGTGTAGACATGGATTAGGTTATGATATCTTTCAACATATGCTTCACGTGGACTAGTTTAGTGTTTTGTCCCTTTCTTACATAGCAAAATGTATACATTTATTGGTTATGCTTCACAGATGTAAAATGGCTAAAATGGTTTTAGGCTTGCATTCAAAATAGAGTGGATACAGTGAAGCCCAGTTATAATCCATATGACAAAGCAGGATAGCTGATTTCACTGGCAGGCACGCCACCTTTATTTTAGCGTGGAAAGCTCAAAAGGGTGACTTCCGAGCACGCAGGTTGTCACCAACATCGCTTCTTGCTTTGCGCACAAGTGCCGAGCTAATGACCCAGAAATCAGGCATTTCAGGACGAAAGCCGGTATACAGGAAGCGAACAGGCCAGTTGTGGGCAAGCACAATGAATGGGCTCCACACTGTAACTGTGTTATAATTGAATTCATGCTATGAAGTAGTATGTTCTATTGGACTGCTTTATAATTGGTGCTCCAGAACATTATATCATGAAGTATAAGCAAGTTAGGTTTAAATAAAGAGTTGTGATTTGAGCCACAAGAGTCTCAGTCAATACTACAACCAATGCATTATGCAGCTAATAATTATTACGAGCAGAAAGATCTCACACAACCAAATTATGCATAGTTCATTCATAGTTTGTAACATAGCACCATCATTCAAACATTGCTGATCTCGCTTCTGAGCAGCAAAGATTTGCAATGTGGTTGCACAATTAAACCAGTTACAACAGATTTAGTTAACTCAGGAAATACATAGGCTGCATTTGATGTCAAATCTGGTTTACTAAACATTATTTTGGCCAATAATCCCCAATAAACCATTGAGCTAATATAAGCAAATATAACAGTTATTTGTATTTACCATTTATGTTTTCATGTTGGCAGGAGTCACAATAGAGAAAGGCAGATAGCATACTTACGTCCCAATAATTGCAGGGTTAGCCAAACTCCAAACTTTATAATTATATCCTAACTATCCTCCTTGGAGCTGAACTAGCTCCAAGGTGACATGTAGGCAATGGAATGTTGGCATTGATTCCACCCTCCGTGGCGGGTCCACAGTACTCCAGAGCACTCCTGATGACTGCCCAGCCAGACTGGCTCATTGGAAGTACTTGGAAGGGCAGACCAGTGGCAGGGTCTCTTCACAGACAGGTCCCTCTGACCATAGAAGCCAAAGCCCTGATGAGTACAGTGGTCCTAGCTAAACAAGGGAGTGCTCTCTATGACAAGCTATGTGGTTTAACTGGTTAGACTCCAGACTAACCAGTACCCCAATCCACACTCTGGGTCCCAATGTCTTGGCTCTTGCCTAATACTTTCCAGAATTTGGTAAGCAGGATGCATCCCTCCAGGGAGAGAGCACGCATTCCGTTCTAATAAATATATCTGGAATTTCCATGTAGAGGTGGGATGCATGGAACTCTGTTTGGATACTTCTAAGCATGGTGACTGGTGGTAGATGAATTCATAAATAATAGTAATAGAAGAGCACTTTTTAATAAATCCCTTTGGTAGTATAACATTTTATAAATGTAAATGTAATGTTGTTGTTGTTGTAGTAGACGTGATCAAGTAGGTATACTCTCAAAATTGTTACTGAAAGCATTAAGGGGAAAGTTAGAAGAAACTTTTCTAAGTAGAAGGTTATCAAAATATGAATCCTTTGCCACACATGAATATAGAGGCATTCAACACTCCCTTCTAAAACAGAATAAATAATAATCTTTGCATTGATCACATTGTTGAGATGTTTCAAAGTGCTTATTGTAAAGTGGTGGGACTGTGTATTTTTGTGCACCATAGGTAAACAATTATAAAAGAACATTTGAAAAGGAAGAAAAGGTAATGGGAATGAGCAGGAAACTGTGATTAGTGTTTATCACTCAAGTTGATGAGATGGCACCAACAGTGGGTCAATGAGGGCTCTTCCACAAGGACTGCAATTGTTGTAATTTTGAAACACAAATAAAACAGTCTCATTTATCAAGTCCCTAAGTTCCCAGCTCACATTTTCCTGCGTGTAAGTTGGCATCAATCACTTTCCTGGTTTGTAATTTTAAAAAGTGTCAAGCAATCATTGGATCATTTTGGAGTGGAACTGCCATATAAAAGACTCAATCTCCAGTATACGTTTCCATGACAGTTAAAATAGCTCTTAGTATTAAGTACCTACTTTATTTTATGATAGCATTTAGCTTTATAAATGAGATTGTTTGTTAAACCTCAAGAGCTAATGAAATGACTCCCCAACTACAAATGATAGCTCTCTGCCTGCTGTATTTTACTACTAACATTTACTTTGCAGCATCAGAAGAAACTGATCTGCGGAGCCAAGAGGATTGGTAGAGGTGCTCAAATTAGAAAAAAAACAGCAGCTGGGGATCGAAGATAATTACTACTCTTTCTCCAAACCCTTTTATATTCTTCCTGTCCTGATAAATTCAGATCTTTGTTTCACTGTTCAAGATAAATTAAACCCAAATCAAACTGTTATTGTTCATGAAAGTCATATTTATGGTACAATTGGGGTAATAACTACAAATATCTGTACCCAGTGTTGTCCATTGACAAGATGAAGGTGGCAAAATCTTCAGATTTTCCAAAACATTAGGATCCTGGAAAAATGCCTACAGGGTATAAAAGCATATAAAATTAACACTCTTGCATAGTNAAAAAAAACACCCTAAACAGATTGCTCAGAGTTTCAGAGCCTCCATAGTCAAATATCTTTCAAGACACTTTACATATTTATAAATTGGGATAATTCACCACAATCTAATAATAATCCTTGCATTTGATATAGCACCTTATCGTATCTTTGAGACGTATCAAAGCGCTTCACAGAATATACCATAAAGTGAATCAACTGTATATTTTGTGGATGAAACGCGGCAGCCAATTGCGCACAGCAGTGTCCCACAAACAGTCATGGATTGAGAGACCAATTTGCTGTTATTTATTTTTTAAGGAAGTATTACCCCCAGAAAAGTACCCACAACGGAAGAGCAAAGTTCCCATAACGGACCTTTATCTGACATTCCACTACAGATTATATTGATTTAAGTATTTTTCTTCTCATTTTGTTTGTCATACTTTTTCAATGAGTTTTGCAAGTTTACACATGGATATATACACATATTCTATGAGATAATTGTATATAATACAGCATAGTGGGTACAGGAGATGGCATTGATGTAATTGTTGATGCGCTTGTGAATACAGGATACCGTGCTGTAATATTTCTGAAGCAAGCAACAAGCAATTTTCCATGCATAAAGATTTTCATGGCAAATTAGATGCTTTGAGGTGCCTGTTTAAGGAACCTCGGGGGCTTGTTTGACCCTCAACTATCCTTTCTACTCCACATCTGCGCCATGCCCTGCTCTGCCTTCCCCCACCTCCCTAACTTCGCCTGGCTCCGACACTGTCTCACACCACAGGCCGCCGAAACCCTCATACACAGCTTCATTACATCGAGGCTCGACTATGCAAACTCACTGCTTGTCGGCCTCCCCAACTCCTCCCTTCTCCCACAGGCTGCAGATCATCCAGAACTCTGCAGCCCCTGTCCTTTCCCACATTAAGCTCCGGGACCCGATCACCCCCATCCTTGCCCAACTCTACTGGCTTCCCTTCACACAGAGGATACGGTTCAAGATCCTGGTTCTCACCTTCAAAGCCCTCTATGGTGTTGCTCCCCCCTACCTCTCTGACCTCCTAAACCTCTGCCATCCTGTTCGCTCCCTCTGCTCAGCGGGCTCCAGCCTGCTTCATGTCCCCCGCCTTGCTCGCCCCACTATCGGCGGGCAGGCCTTCCACCACTTTGCACCCACTCTGGAACTCCATCCCGCTGTCTTGCCCCCTCCCTCACCAAGACCCACCTCAAGATCCTCCTCTTCGACCGTGCTTTCGATCTCCCTGCTTCTCCCCTGCCCTACCCCGACCCTCAGCTCGTTCCGTAACTCTGTCCAGCGCCTTGGGATGTCCTCCTGACGTGAAAGGCGTTATTCAAATGTAATTTTGTTGTTGCTACTTTCCACCTGGGGGGGAGGGGTTCTGGTGTTTCAGAAAAGGGCAGTATATTAACACTGGGGATGAAGAAGCTTCACTGCCAAGTTCTGAATTTCGGCCATGAGATGATGGGAAGCCACAACACAGATAAAGCAGTAGAAGTGATTTCAGTTCAGTCTCTCTCAACTAACTCTTGCACAGCTCCTATTGGTCAGATACAAAGTTGCAGGGGGAAATCTGGTGCAACACTACAGTGCAGAAACTCATGGGGAGAAAATAACTAGAACATGTTGGGATATAAAAAGGAACAGAAAAACAAATGTAATGCATTCTCACTACACTTACTTTAAAAACGTGTCTTTGCTATCAATGCCAACATGTACAAAATAGTGATCTATACTATTGGGCAGAATACAACAACCTGCATTTATACTATCTCCTTCAAATAGGATAACACATCAGAGAACTTTACAAAGACAGGAATGGACATCAGGCAGAGGAGAGGAGGGGGAAATGTAAGTCTTGTTAAAGAGGTGTACTTTAACCAAGAGTTAAAGACAGATAGAGGTGGGAGATGGAAGGGTAGCAGTGGGGAGTTCCAGAGGCTGGGGCACAGAAGCTGAAAGGCTTGCCACTGATCTTGATGTGAAGAAGGCAAGGGACCTTGCAGCAGAGGGACCTTGATATGTCGATACATGAACAATTAAAGGTGGAAGCAGCATGGAAAATATCTTGAAAATAATGTAGTAGTCTGATAATTTATGAAAGTACAGAGTGAAAGCAAAGGTTTGCTTACCGTTGCAAAATCATCCTTATCATAAGGATGAAAACACTCATCAAAACAGAAAACATGTACAGCAATCCTTCCATGCATTGACCTAATGAAATGGAAAGTTAACAAAAAGGAGAGAAAAAATAAACTCAATGAAAGCACTCGTCACCAACTTTATTTCAGTATCACCCAAAAAATAACTTATTTTTACTGTGCAGTTAGTAACAGGAAATAATCTTTACATTTGATATAGCACCTTTTATGTTGGGAGGACATTTCAATTTGCTTCATGGGTATTCTGTAAAGTGTATTGACTGTATATTCGGTAGGTAAAATAACAATATCAGTGAATTTATGGTCCATCTGAAAAAGGACTTTCATTTCTCATTGGGCCTTAAGATGTTGAAATGTCTGAATGTGATTCACAGCAATTACTGTTAAATGCAACGACTGTTCCTGCAGACAAACACCGCAACAGAGGTGATTTTATCCAGAGTGCTTAAACAGTCAGTCATTCATTGCACTCGCTCACTGTAACAAAGCCTAGAGTTGTTCAGGCTGGCTCCAGTGTGAGGAGATGATCCCCCAGCGCTGCCTGTTACCTCCCCCCGCCAACACCCAGCTCCCTAACCATTGCCTGTTACACCCTCCTTGAGCATTGTCTGATACTCGACCACCGAACTGCCTGTTAACACCCCCTCTACCTGAACACTGCCAGTTACAACCACCCCTCCCTGAGCACTGCCTGTTCCCCCCGAACTCTGCCAGTTAATCCCCCTCTCCTTCAGCACTGTCTGTTGCCCCCTCTCCCCGAGCACCGTCTGTTGCCCCTTCTCCCCGAGCACCGTCTGTTGCCCCCCCCTCCCCGAGCACCATCTATTACCCCCCCTCCCTGAGGACCATCTGTTATCCCCCCACCCTGAGCACTGTCTGTTACCCCCCCCCTCCCTGAGCACTGCCTGTTACCCCCCCCTCCCTGAGCACTGCCTGTTACTCCCCCTCCCCGAGCACTGTCTGTTAGCCCCCCTCCCCGACCAGTGTCTGTTACCCCCCTCCCCGAGCACTGTCTGTTACCCCCCCCTCCCTGAGCACTGCCTGTTACCCCCACCTCGCGGAGCACTGTCTGTTAGCCACCCTCCCCGAGCACTGTCTGTTATCCCCCCCCCAGCACTGTCTGGTAGCCCCCTCTCCCGGAGCACTGTCTGTTAGCACCCCCCCCCCACCTCTCCCTGAGCACTGTCTGTAACCACCCCCCACCCCACCTCTCCCTGATCACTGTCTGTAATCCCCCCCCACCCCACCTCTCCCTGAGCACTGTCTGTAAACCCCCCCCACCTCACCTCTCCCTGAGCACTATCTGCAAACCCCCCCCACACCCCACCTCTCTCTGAGCACTATCTGTAACCCTCCCCCCACCTCTCCCTGAGCACTGTCTGTAAACCCCCCCACCCCACCTCTCCCTGAGCACTGTCTGTAACCCCCCCCCCACCCTGAGCACTGTCTGTAAACCCTCCCCACCTCTCCCTGAGCACTGTCTGTAAACCCCCCCACCCCACCTCTCCCTGAGCACTGTCTGTAAACCCCCCCCCCCCCACCTCTCCCTGAGCACTGTCTGTAACCCCCCCCACCCCACCCTGAGCACTGTCTGTAAACCCTCCCCACCTCTCCCTGAGCACTGTCTGTAAACCCCCCCCCCACCCCACCTCTCCCTGAGCACTGTCTGTAACCCCCCCCCCCCACCCCACCTCTCCCTGAGCACTGTCTATAAACCCCCCCCCCCCCACCTCACCCTGAGCACTGTCTGTAAACCCCCCCCCCACCTCACCCTGAGCACCGTCTGTAAACCCCCCCCCCACCCCACCTCTCCCTGAGCACTGTCTGTAACCACCCCCCCACCCCACCTCACCCTGAGCACTGTCTGTAACCCCCCCCCCCCCCCCCCACCACACCCTGAGCACTGTCTGTAAACCCCCCCCCCACCTCACCCTGAGCACTGTCTGTAAACCCCCCCCCACCCCCACCCTGAGCACTGTCTGTAAACCCCCCCCCCACCTCAACCCTGAGCACTGTCTGTAAACCCCCCCCACCCACCTCACCCTGAGCACTGTCTGTAACCCCCCCCCCCCCCACCACCCCACCTCACCCTGAGCACTGTCTGTAACCCCCCCCCACACCACCCCACCTCACCCTGAGCACTGTCTGTAACCCCCCCCCCCACCTCACCCTGAGCACTGTCTGTAACCCCCCCCCCACCCCACCTCACCCTGAGCACTGTCTGTAACCCCCCCCCCCCCCACCACCCCACCTCACCCTGAGCACTGTCTGTAACCCCCCCCCCCCCCCCACCACCCCACCTCACCCTGAGCACTGTCTGTAACCCCCCCCCACCCCACCTCACCCTGAGCACTGTCTGTAACCCCCCCCCCCCCACCACACCCTGAGCACCGTCTGCAACCCCCCCCCCCCCCCCGAACACTATCTCTTACCCTCTTACCCCCCCCCCCCCGCCTCCCTGAGCACCGCCTGTAACCCTGCCCCCCCCCCCCCCCCCCCCCCACCCCACCCCGAGCACCGCCTGTTGCCGTCCTCACCACTTTATGAAATGCTCTTTGATTTTGCCGTCCTGGGGGAAGCTGATGACCTTATCGCTCAGATGTCTGAACGTGAAAGTCCGCCCGGGACCCCACTCCGCCGCCATCTCGCTTCTCCCGTTGCTAGGAAACGCCTGGCAAAGTGCTGCACCGGTCAAACGCCTCCCCGGATCCCTGACACCGCACCGCAGGTTCCGGGTGCAGCGCGGAGTGCACCTCAGGGCAACAACAAACCCTTTTACATGGAGTATATATGACTGTCACCCCATGTGTCCGTCCCTCTCACATTGAGAGGACGTCTCAAAAGTATTTCGCAAAGGCTGAGCCGGAGCCGGAGATGGCAAGGAAGCTATTCGGCGTTAACAGTCGGAGATTATTAACTGCTAATAATAATAATAATAGTGATAATTCTTGCATTTGATATCGCGCCTCGTCATGTCGTTGAGATGTCGCTAAGAGCTTCGCTGAATATAATGACTATTTTGTGGGCCAAACATCGTAGACGTACAATTGGCTGCTGCGTTTCGCCCACGAGATGTACAGTCAATTCACTTGAGAGTATATTCTGTGAAGCACTTTGAGGCGTCTCAAAGACGTGATAAGGCGCTACATCAAATCCAAGGATTATTATTATGCTTAATAATAATAATAATCTTTGCATTTGTTATAGCACCTTTCAGGTTAAGAGGACGTCTCAAATCACTTCAGAAAGATGAGGAAGAGCCTGAGCTGTGAAGTGGAGTGCCAAACATGAAGTCAAAGAGGTGCAACAACAACTTGCAATTATATAATACCCTTCGTGTGGGATAACGTCTCTATATAAATATAAATGTGGACAGTATTGTGTTATATTATTTCTAGAATATAATTTTTCAATTGTTTAAGACAACCTGGTCCTAATATAAATTGCTGTACTATGTACAGTATATCTACTGTGACTCGTAAGATTTGGATTCAACTACTCTACTTTCAGAATTAATTACTTTCAAACACCTTTGGTCAAAAATGACCCTCAAAGAGGATACTTTGGGATCTGTTTACTTGCCAACATCTGCTGCTGATTCTGTTCTCACCTCATCAAAATCATTTCCTAGCTGCACTATTCCCCGGATCAGATACTGCAATTGTCACCTTAGCTAAGATGCAAAACATACCACCATGATCATACTGTGCTTTCTTTTACAGTTGATAATGATCTCCCCAGCTGCTTCCGTCTTCAACCAGAGGTAATGCCTCCATAGATGTAACATTTGCCAACTCTCCTGAGTGCCTAAAAGCACATCTGACGACCACATGGTTTACATCAAAGCCTCTTTTCATTGGCATCTTTAAAGGAATAACAAGCACAAAGTTTGGCTTTATGACAGGGCCAATTGGAAGAGTAAACACATCCATATTATGCGTTCGCACAAAGGACTGAGTAACATTATCTATTCATTCCCTCTTCTCCAAACATATGTTCGCCTCAGTTTGGTACTCTTTGTACTATATTCAACATTGTGCATTGAATAATAATTGGGAGCAATTTGCAGCATTTCATAATGGATTTCTTGTGATATGAGACATATATTTTGTTGGCAAATGCGCACAGTGGTGTCCCACAAAAAATTATCTTTTAAAATTTACTTCTGAAGGGTTTATTACCCCCCGAAAAGCAATCCTCAACAGAGGTGATTTTATCCAGAGTGCTTAATACTTTCATTGTGGTCACTCACTGCAACAAAGCCTAGTGTTTTTCAGGTTGGATCCAGTGTGAGGAGCTGATCCTACCAGGACTGCCTGTTATCCCCCTCCCTCCCTGAACACTGTCTGTTACCCCCACCATCCCTGAGTACTGCCTTGTTAGCTCCTACCCCACCAAAAAAAACTGCCTGTTACATATTTGTAATATCTTTGTGGTTGCAAAACAAAATCTGTTCAGCATAACATACAACACGTTTGTCAATGTTGGCCCTTTAATGGGAATTCCCAGTTACACATCAACAAAGGTACTGGACACGTAGCACAGAGCAAATTTATTTTCTGGTCTCAAGCCAATCAGTACTTTTACCAGCCACTAGATAGTGTACCAGAGTTGCCTAAGGTATTACTTTCTCATTCCATTCAAATTCTCTTTTGTTGAAATCAGGGTTATTGCACAATGGAATCTACATTGAGATAGTTAAATCAAAATCTTGGTCCCCCACTTTTTCTCAAACCAATTAGTAAATTATGTGCCAACCTGACCTCTCACCTCTTAATCAGAAGGTCATGTGGTCAAACACCAAGTCGGGACTTGAACTTACTTTTGTGTCTAAGTTGAAATTTCAATGCAGTGTTGGGAGGTGCCGTCCTTTGGGTAAGAAACTAAACTGAAGTTCTATATGCCTGTTCAGGTGGATTTTACAGATCCTTAGGCACTATTTGAAAAGAGAAAGTAGTTTTCCCCATTGTCCTGGTCAGCAATCCCCCGAAATAAAATCGGTTATTCATTCCATAATTGATTATGGGACATTACTGTGTGCAATTGGGCTGCCACTTTGACTTAAAACCAAAACCTTCTCGCTTCAAGAGGTAGAATTCTGTTGCATTTTTCGCTACCTTGCTCTCCTATGACAGACTGTTAATGGCAGTAACTGATTTAGCACCTTATTTTTCAGACCTGTTATGTTATACATTCTTTAGTTTGATACCAGTATGTCTACTTTGTTTCTCAAAATACGAAGAAATGCACTGCACTGGTGGGAGAGCACACTTTCATAACAGCCTGTAAGTGCAAAAGAAATGGTAAAAGAAAAAAAAAGAAAAACTGGGTTGATTTCCTGTACTGCTGGGTACAAATGATAAGGCCAGGCTGGCCCAGAAAAGCACAATTTGCAAATCAACAACAACGAGATGCATTTATATAGCGATCTCAGCATTTATATAGCATCCCAGTGCTCTTAATCAGGATCTTGTCCCACAATCTCCGTACTAAGGAAGTGAAACATATCATATAGTTTAATTAATAAATTACTAAAGATACTGTATATACATGTAACATAGAATGTAAAGGATTAATTGTCAGATGTACCAGCATTGCAAAAGTTAACCACAGTAGCATTCGTACGAGGCATCCAGGTCTGTGTGAAAGAGATAGTAGAGAGACTTAGTTATGGAAGCTCAAAGAAAATGATAACAAGGTCCTTGGCAAAAAGCCAACATTGATAATTTGGCACCTTGAAGGAAACAAATCATGAGGTTCCCAGGGTTCTGTAGAGAACAAGTTTAGGATAGTTTGGGGATATAACGAAGAGGTTTTTCCAGTAACCGTTGGGAGCTGAGGGGAGCAGAACAGTCCGAGAATGTAGCGGCTGTTGGGAGAATGTGGGAGATGAAGGGACACTATAGGATGTAGAAGCTGAGAGGGAGGTCAGTCTTAGAACATCGAAGCAAAACAATCAGAAAATCCAACTGCAACCCTTACAAGTGTGTAGCTGATCATCTATACTTTCTAATAAAAACTTTGATTCCAACAAAGTTCCAATCCCGTTTTGAAATACATCTGTTGTTCAACATCGAATGTGAAAGCCCTGCGGAGGGAAGGGGACGAGGTTGACATTAACTAAAAGATGTAAAACAATACAGTAAAAGAAATGTAATTTGAGATTGCAAGTAGCTTCATAGATGTTTTCAGCAACAAGTGATTTTTTTTAAAACGAAGGCAACAAAAATACAAATTTACATTTCATAGAATCATAGAATCGTACAGCACAAAAAGAGGCCATTCGGCCCATCGAATCTGTGCCGGCTCTTTGAAAAGAGCAATGTAATGTCAATCCCACTCCCCAGCCCTTTCCCCGTAACCCTGCAAACCCGTCCTCCTCAAAATACCCATCCACCGCGTTTTTAAAAGTTGTTATCGAATCGGCCTCAACCACCCTTCCAGGCAATGCATTCCAGATTCGAACAACTCAATGCGTGAAAAAATTTATTCTCACCTCCCCTCTGCTTCTTTTAGAAACTATTTTAAATCTGTGACCTCAAGTCACCGACGCACCCACCAGTGGAAACAGTTTTTCCCTTTCTAACCTATCAAATCCCCTCATGATTTTGAAGCCCTCTTAGGTCTCCTCGTAACCTTCTCTGCTCCAATGAGAATAATCCCAGCCTCTCGAGCCTTTCCTCATAATCAAGGTCCCTCATTCCTGGTACCATCCTCGTAAATCTCCTCTGCACCCTTTCCAATGCCTTAACATCCTTCCTATAGTGTGGTGCCCAGAACTGGGCGCAGTATTCTAACTGAGGCCTAACCAGTGTTTTATATAGGTTAATCATAACCTCCTGACTCTTGTACTCTATGCCCCTATTTATAAAGCCTAGTATCCCATATGCCCTTTTTACAGCTTTATCTACCTGTCCTGCCACCTTCAAGGATTCATTTACCTGAACCCCCAGGTCTCTCTTTCACCCCCCCTTAAGATTGTATTACCAGCCTATATTGCCTCCCCTCATTCTTCCTTCCAAAATGCATTACCTCGCATTTCTCCACATTGAAATTCATCTGCCATGTGTCTGCCCATTTTATCATTCTGTCTATGTCTTCCTGCAGTTGGCCACTATCCTTCTCAATGTTTACTACCCTACCTAACTTTGTGTCGTCCGCAAACTTGGAAATGGTACTTGCTATACCCAAATCCAGATCATTTATGTATATTAGGAAGAGCAGCAGTCATAATACCGATCCTTGGGGACGCCACTGTACCTCCCTCCAGTCAGAAAAGCAGCCGTTCACAACTCTCTGCTTTCTGTCTCCCGGCCAGTTCTGGATCCATGCTGCCACTGTCCTTTTTATACCATGGGCTTCTATCTTTCTTACAAGTCTTTTATGTGGCACTTTGTCAAATGCCTTTTGAAAGTCCATATAAACTACATCTACTGCACTCCCTTCATCCACCCTCTCCATTACCTCATCGAAAAATTCTATTAGATTTGTTAGACAAGATTTGCCTTTAACAAATCCGTGCGGCTGTCCCTAATTAACCCATATTCTTCTAAGTGAAGATTTATTCTGTCCCGGATTATAGTCTCCAGGAGTTTCCCCACTACTGATGTTAGGCTGACTGGCCTGTAGTTCCCAGGTTTGTCCTTCTGCCCCTTTTTGTACAGGGGAGTAACATTGGCCACTCTCCAGTCCTCTGGCAC